CAACTACAGTAATTTATCTGTTGTGGTGATTTTGCAGTTTGTATGGTAACAACAACTACAATAATTGATCTGTTGCGGTGATTCTACAGTTGCTATGGTAACACAACAACTACAATAATTGATCTGTTGTGGTGATTCTACAGTTGCTATGGTAACACAACAACCACAGTAATTGATCTGTTGTGGTGATTCTACAGTTGCTATGGTAACACAACAACCTACAGTAATTGATCTGTTGTGGTGATTCTACAGTTGCTATGGTAACACAACAACTACAGTAATTGATCTGTTGTGGTGGGTCTACAGTTGCTAATGATAACAACAATTACAGTAAGTGATCCGTTGTGGTAATTCTGCAGTTGCTATGGTAACACAACTATAGTAATTGATATGTTGTGGTGATTCTGCAGTTGCTATGACAACAGTTGCTATGGTACAGCTACAATAATTGATCAGTTATGGTGATGCTACAGTTGATATGGTAACACAACTACAGTAATTGATCTGATGTCTTGATTCTGCAGTTGCTATGGTAACACAACTACTTTAATTGATCTATTGTGATGATTCTAAACTGGCTATGGTAACAACAACTACAGTCGTCAGTACTTGATCTGTTGTGGTGATTCTACAATTTCTATGGTAACAACAACTACGGTAAGTGATCTGTTGTGGTGATTCTGCAGTTGCTATGGTAACAGTTGCTATGGCACTGCTACAATAATTGATCTGTTGTGGTGATTCGACAGTTACTATGGTAACACAACCACAGCTATCGTAATTGATCTACTGTGGTGATTCTGCAGTTACTATGGTAACTCATCAACTATAGTAATTGATCTGTTGTGGTGATTCTACAGTTGCTATGGTAACACAACAACAAAAATAATTTATCTGTGGTGGTGATTCTGCAGTTACCATGGTAGCACAACAACTATAGTAATTGATCTGTTGTGTTGATTCTGCAGTTGCTATGGTAATACAACAACTACAGTAACACGACAGCTACGGCATTAAAAACAAATGACCCAATACTGTGTTTTTCATGACAACGGGGTATATTATCCTATATTATGCTACTATATACCACAGTTTACTGATGTAAAAACTAAAGTATACTACAGTATTTATTACAGTTTGCCAGTTAAATAGTTAACATTACAGTATGCTGGAGTAGTAATTAATAAATACATTATAATACAGTTTACTATAGCATGGTTCAAACACGCTATGGTATTTATGCTAATGACTATAGTATTTTTTTTCACGAGGGTATGAAGTATATCATGCTCATGCATTTTTCGATTCTGATTCTGTTAAATAAAAAGACTCATTGCTAATGCATAATCCAGATCACTGGCATATTTTGGGTTTTTACAGTGCATTTAAATGATCATCACCAGCTGTGTGTTGCATGAAGAATCATTTTTAAACATGATATTATTTTCTATTCATCTATCCAGAGATGATGTGTAGATATCCATATCAGGCTTTAAAATCCATACATGACATTATCCAACATAAACAGCTACAGTAATAGCATCATAATATCTGACATGCTTCATAAATCAATTTGTACGTCAGTCCATTGACACTTTCTTGATATAAAGAATACGAAAGCTGAATATTATTATCATGAATGAAGCATGAAATCAACACATGCACACTAATTCATCCTATAAATATACAATAAGCCTTTAAAATGCATAAAATGTCTCGTGTATTGACAGTCTGAGATGAGCATTGCATATATTTATCATGCATTCAGGCAAGTATAGTCTTCATTAAACGTTTTAAACCATGCGCCAAATTAACCCACAATAAGGACAATCATAATATTATACTATTGGATTTAAAGCAAACACACACTGTTTGTCAAAATCAGACAAAAAATAACCATAAAACTGTGAACTGAACAGATTTAATAAGGAAAAGAACTACAATCCCATGAATCATTGCGAATGACATGGTCAAATTAAAAACAAGAAATGTAAGAGTATTAGTTTAAATTTTCTGGTTACCATAGACACAATGTTTCATGCTTATTGCAAAATATGTGCATATATTTACATTTGAGATGCTTCAGCTGAGTGGGAGGGGCTACAAATCCTATGGCGCACTTTGCTCACTGCTACTCTCTGATTGGTTAATTGTTTGTACAGCATTATGGGTAATGTATCTGCATGCATTCTGCTATTAAATACAGTTTTTTAAAATATATTTGAGATGCTTAAGTGGAGTGGGAGGGGCTAACGATCTGTTTTGGTGCACTTTGCTAGCTACTACTCTCTGATTGGTTATTTGTTAAAACAGCCTTATGGGTAATGGAGTTTTTCTGCACATATTCTGCTACTAAATACAGTTTTAAAAAATACATTTGTCGAGCGGGAGGAGCTAAAGATCTGTTTTGGTGCACTTTGCTAGCTACTACTCTGATTGGTTATTTGTTAAAACAGCCTTATGGGTAATGGAGTTTTTCTGCTCACATTCTGCTAATAAATACAGTTTTAAAAAATACATTTGTCGAGTGGGAGGGGCTAAAGATCTGTTTTGGTGCACTTTGCTCACTGCTACTCTCTGATTGGTTAATAGTTTGTTCAGCATTATGGGTAATGTATTTTATTCTGCACAAATCATGCTATTAAATAGTTTGTTCTTAATATATTTGCGATGCTTCAGTGGAGTGGGAGGGGCTAAAATTGTGTTTCTGCACACTTTGCTTATTGCTACTCTCTGATTGGTTAATTGTTTGTACAGCATTTTGCGGTATTTTTTTCTGCACGCATTCTGCTATTAAATACAGTTTTTATAAAATATATTTGTGATGCTTAAGTGGAATGGGAGGAGCTAAAGATCTGTTTTGGCGCACTGCTCTCTGCTACCCTCTGATTGGTTAATTGTTTGCAGAGCATTATTGGTAATGTAGTTTTTCTGCTCACATTCTGCTAAAAAACAGTTTTAAAAATACATTTGTGGAGTGGGAGGGGCTAAAGATCTGTTTTGGTGCACTTTGCTCACTGCTCTCTGATTGGTTAATAGTTTGTTCAGCATTATGGGTAATGTATTTTATTCTGCACAAATCATGCTATTAAATAGTTTGTTCTTAATATATTTGCGATGCTTCAGTGGAGTGGGAGGGACTAAAATTGTGTTTCTGCACACTTTGCTTACTGCTACTCTCTGATTGGTTAATTGTTTGTACAGCATTTTGGGTAATTTTTTATCTGCACGCATTCTGCTATTTAATACAGTTTTTAAAAAATAAATTTGTGATGCTTAAGTGGAGTGGGAGGAGCTAAAGATCTGTTTTGGCGCACTGCTCTGCTACTCTGATTGGTTAATTGTTTGCAGAGCATTATGGGAAATGTAGTTTTTCTGCTCACATTCTGCTAAAAAACAGTTTTAAAAATACATTTGTGGAGTGGGAGGGGCTAAACATCTGTTTTGGTGCACTTTGTTTACTGCTACTCTGATTGGTTAGTCGTTTCAGCATTATGAGTAATGCATTTTACCTGCACAAATCATGCTGTTAAATAGTTTGTTTTAAATATATTTGCAATGCTTCAGTGGAGTGGGAGGGGCTGAAAATCTGTTTCTGCACACTTTGCTTACTGCTACTCTGATTGGTTAATTGTTTGAACAGCATTATGGGTAATGTCTTTTATTCTGCACGCATTCTGCTTTTAAATACAGTTTTTAAAAATATATTTGCCATGCTTTAGTGAAGTGGGAGGGGCTAAAGATATGTTTTGGTGCACTTTGCTCACTGATACTCTCTTATTGGTTAATTGTTTGTACAGCATTATGGGTAATGTAGTTTTTCTGCATGAATTCTGCTATTAAATACAGTTTTTGTATATTTGAGATGCTTTGGTTGAGTGGGAGGGGCTACAAATCTGTTTTGGTGCACTTTGCTCACTGCTACTCTCTGATTGGTTAACTGTTCAGCATTATGGGTAATGT